CCGCCCCCCCCCCCCCCCCCCCCCCCCCCCCCCCCCCCCCCCCCCCCCCCCCCCCCCCGCCATGTCCGTGGTGCCGCCCAACCGCTCGCAGACCGGCTGGCCCCGCGGGGTCAACCAGTTCGGCAACAAGTACATCCAGCAGACGAAGCCGCTCACGCTGGAGAGAACCATCAACCTGTGAGCGCCGCCTCGGGCCTGCCCGCCCCTGCCCCGTCCTGCCCGCTCCCTCAGCAGCCCCGGGGGGTTTGCGCTCAGCGCCCGCCCTACGAGGGCCGGAGGGTCGCGGCCTCCCGGAGAGCCGAGGGCAGGGCGGCGGCACAGCCCGGGTGCCCGTGGGGCTCCCCCCGCGCGGGGGCTGCTGAGCCGCACTGGGGGTACCGGGGTACCGAGGGCTCGCCGGCCTTCGGGGGAGTGAACGCTTTAGTGCTTAAAAACAGCGTCCGGCTCGGGAGGTGTGAGCCCCGAGTAACACAGGGAGGGTTTGGGCCTGTTGAGCGTCACAGACACTCACGGATTATCCGGGAAGGCGGCAGAGAGGGAAACGGGCTCTCTCTTGGCCTCGCTGGGGCTCGGGCCGGCCCTGTGACCCCAGTCCGTAGGATGTAGCTGGATGTGCCTGGTGTTTGTGGGTTGTCTGATGCAGGTGTTGGGGTTTAATTAAGAGTGGTTGCTACCAGAGAAAACTTTATTTCTGCCATAGAAACAAACTACTTGCTAATAAGTATTTACTTATTTTTTAATGAGAAGCCATATATTTTAGCTTCTTCCAGAAAGTTCTGGTGGACGTAGAATGTGATTTTTGCTAAGTACATCTGTCAAGTTGCAAAAACCAGCAGATGTTAACTGCAGCAGTCAATATTCAATTTTAACTATTCATCACTACCACTTGTATTTTTTGGTGTAGCTGAATTTATTCAGTCTTGTGAAAATTCAAATGTGAGCTTCAGAGATTGGAATATTTCTATAGAGTTTCTGAAGAAATGACTCATTGGGAAGCTGTGTTATCAGCATCTTTTTTTTTTTTTAAAGTCTAGGCCATTTCTTGCCTAAACTTTCTTTTCTTTTCTGACTGTTTTAAGTTCCTCTTACTTGAAGAAATCAGTGAGTTTTCACTGCACTGTCCCAAGAGTGCAGAGGCCCAGCACTAGCCCAACAGAGGGATCTGCTCACACTCTTTATCTTACCCCAGGCTCTCAATCCTGCACTCAGACTGTCAGCATTTCTCCTCTTCTGTCATCCAGATGCCTGATTCCCCACTTCAAAACAAAACCACTTCTAACAGTTCAGTTCTCAGGCCCTTCATTACATCTGCAGAAAACAACTGCAGTCCTGTGCAGCTTCCTTCCTTCCTTCCCAGCAGAGCTTTTCCCTCCGGTCTCTTTTCCAGTTTCTCTTGGAGTTTCAGCTGCCTTTTCTCTGTGGCATGGAGATCAAAGAGGGTGGCTGTTGAATAACATTTGGTTCTTCTGGGCTTCTTTCTTTCTTTTGAGCCAGCACCAGGCTGGTGTGTGGCTCAGCAGGACTGTCTGTGCTCATGTGTTCCTCGAGCAGATCTCTCTGGGACGAGGGCCCCGTGAGCCACCAGCAAGGATTTTAGCCCTGCACTCTGAGCTGCCCACCAGGCACAGAAGGGTCCTGCCTCAGGCGAGGTGCTGTGTCAGAGAGATTCAAAGTTCGGTTTCTTTATGCAGTTACAATTTTTCCCCCCTTGCAGGTATCCTCTGACAAATTACACGTTTGGCACCAAGGAGCCCCTGTATGAGAAGGACAGTTCGGTGGCCGCTCGGTTCCAGCGCATGAGGGAAGAGTTTGACAAGATTGGCATGAGGAGGACGGTGGAGGGGGTTCTGATCGTGCACGAGCACAGGCTGCCCCACGTGCTGTTGCTGCAGCTGGGTACAACTTTTTTCAAGCTGTAAGTGTTTCTTAAACTTTAAACTTTAATTTATTGTCACAGACCACTAAACACGCGGGCTGGAGGTTAAACTGTGGCCAACCAGTTGATGTTTTGAATGGGATTCATTTCTTGCAAAAACTTAGTCTGGAAAGTCTTTTTTTGAGTGGTGGGGTTTTCATCTAAAGTGTTTGTCTGACTGCTCATGAGGGGGTGACTTAGTTTGGAACCAGCTGGGAATCTTAGTTACAGTGCATCACTGTGGTAAAATCTTGTTTAAAAGTCATTATCAGCAGCTGGTGTGTTGTACTTGCATTGTGAAGGCTGCTATGCTTCCATAGCTTATGTTATGCCTGCAAAAACAGGCCTTCAAGAACTGACCCCCTGTAAATACAGAATGATACCTGGTTACAAACTACTGGGTGAGCTGGGATAGCATATTTATGAGTGCCAGAGTGAAATTCTAGTGTTTGGATACGGTCGTGGTGATGGTGGTGGTGCTTGTTTTCTGTTTTAAACTAGATGGTCTTGACTTGTCTCAAGTTCCCCTGATCGTGTTCTTGCTCTTGTTTTTAACATTTATATTGTTTGCTCTCAATTTTGTGTATGTGTGAAGTCTCATTTCATATCTAGATTAGTTTTTCACGTCTTGATTTGAAGGGTGTTTGTGCACAAACAGACTTGTGAAATGCTGTATTGATGAAAATGTGGTTTTAGATTTTTCATTAATCGTACATCAAATGTGGGGTGGTTCCCCACATGAGTTTTATTTTCTGCTTTCTGTTTGCTTCAGTGTGTGCTGGTTTTGAGATAACAATAAATACAGGCAGTATTTACAACCTTTTCTTCAGCTTTTGGTTATTATTGTTAAAACTTTACCCTTTAAGTGTCCCAGTCTTTATCATGTGTATTGTTATGCTTTGTCCTGCTGAATTGAAAGTATTTTATATAATAGTTATTTTTGTAAGGGACACGAGTAGCCATTTTAGTCATGGTTTTGGTGAAAGTTATCCTGCTGTCTTCAATATCAAAGTTAGATTTGGAATTTCTGACTTAAGGACCATAAAAGAATTTGTAACTCCCTGCCTGACTGAACTTACCTGTAAAAGTTGGTAATGCAATAAAATGTAACTTCAGCTTTCATCACTGTTATTTTAACAGACCTGGTGGTGAACTGAATCCGGGAGAAGATGAGGTGGAAGGGCTCAAACGCTTAATGACAGAGGTCTGTTTTCTGTTGTTATGTTTCCATAGCAGAATGTTACATTATCTTAGAATTAGCAGAATAAGCCCAAACATTAGAGTGGTCTTCTTACCGCTGCTGTTATTGTTGCTTTTGTGATGTTCTCAGGTAGTTACAAATAAGCAGTCAAGTTTTCATTTGTCTGCATCATGAGTGTGGCTGACTCCTGCTGCTGCTCAAGTCCTGTGTTCATTTGCAGCTTTGCTTTCTGACTGGCTTCAGGCAAGTGAATGTGCAGATGAGCAATAAAATGTGTTGTGGAGCACAGCTGGTGAGGACTTGCCTTTGAGATAGTCCTCCCGTTGCACTGGGAACTTTCCATGCCCTCCAATTAGCCTAAATTACTTCTGCCAGCTACTGTAACAATGTATTTCATTCTTCCCACTGGTGAGATAGGACTCAGGCCAGCTGAATACAGCATGGAATTTGAAATGCTCTCTAAAGTGGCCTTGTCCTGCCAGGCGAGGCTTTTACGAAAAAATTCCACTTTATACAAAAATACTCTACAAATTCTATTGAAAGCTGTCTCAGAGCAGTTCTAAACTATGTCAGAAAAAGGTTTTGTTCTTTCAGTATGTGTTTTCTAGAAAAATGGACTTGGGATAGTTAGAGTTGTGATTGTTACTGGATTTTTGGTAGATACTGGGTCGCCAGGATGGTGTTCAGCAGGACTGGGTGATTGATGACTGCATTGGCAACTGGTGGAGACCAAACTTTGAACCTCCTCAGGTGAGTACTCCTGTGGGCTTCCATCCTCTTCAGTCAAGTACTGATTGTACCTCCAAAGCCTTCAACCCACTGGTTGGCCTTTTTGAGTACCTGCTGCATGAGCAGTTAGTTTTTCTGTTTTTTACCTGTTTTATTTCCTTTCGGTGACTGGGGAGAAACTGCAGCCTCTTTTTCTGGAAACTTCTATTCCCCTCCTCACACATGTCATGATGGATGAGAAACCACTGGATATAATAGCTTCCAGTTCTGTGCTGAGACAGATGCACCACTGAAATTCCTTTTGTAGCCACGATGGAAACTCTTGCAGCAGCTTATGGAACAGATGCCCTGTGAATAAATTAGTCTCACTACCCTATTTCTAAAGGCTCATTTTGCTGTTATGCATGTCTGTCTTATTGGGTTGTTTCAACTGCTTGTGAGTATTGGTGCCAATTTAGGTCCTGTCACTAGCTGTGACAGCAACAGCACTCCTTCCTTAAGTACTTTCTTGTAAAATTTTGGGGTTTTTTTATTCGATGCCGTGAAAGAAAAATATATGACACACTGAAAGCTTGCACAGTGCTTGATAATTTATAAAGTAGGACTTTAGATTGCACAATATTTTCAAAGCTCTGTATAACTAATTTTTATCATTTTTCTTCTAGTATCCCTATATCCCAGCTCATATTACAAAGCCAAAAGAGCACAAAAAGCTTTTTTTGGTCCAGCTTCAAGAAAAGGGTAGGTA